AGTACTCTCTCTGAGAGGGCTCCTGTTGAACTCAGTTTTCTCTATCTTCTTGAAATATTTTCAGAGATGTTCCAAGACCCATTTTAGATTGATACCTCATTTCATCCCCATCTGGCTCACCTTTTAATTTGGCTCTGGGTTCCCTGTATCAACTGTTTGGGGTTTATATTAAGGAATGTACATGTTAATTAAATATGTTCATGCCACTTCTAGAAATCTCAATCCTGGAAAGAAAAAAAAAATGCAAAATAAGAAACAACATCTGTATGCTTTAAGATGTTTTTTGCAGTATCTTGATGGAGAGCAGTGAGAACTTATGGAATCATTAAGTGTTCTGCCAGATAATATATAAAAAAAGATTTACTGCAAGGGTCACTTATGTGATTGTGGGAGATGGCTAGGTAAGCCCAAAATTCATAAAGCAGGTCATCAGGAAGGACAGGCTGGAAGCTCAAGTCAGATCTGAGGCTGTAGTCAAAGGCGGAATTTCTTCTCCTTCAAGTAAACCTCAGTTCTGTTCTTAAAGCCTTTCAACTGATTAGATCAAACCCACCCACATTATCAAGGATAATCTCTTTTACATAAAGTTAACTGATTGTAGACATTAATCACAACTATAAAGTACCTTCACAGCAACATCTAGATTGGTGTTTGATTGAACAACTGGGTACTATTTAGGCTAGCCAAATTAGTGCATAAAACTGTTATTTTTCCTGCTGCAAAAGCAATTATAGGAAAGTAGACAGAACCAAAAAAAATACCTATAATTCTATCACTTAAAGACAATTTGCTGTATTTTAATTTGTGCCTTCCAGGGTTTTTTCCGCTAGCAATTTATTTATAACAGCAGGAAAGATGGAAATTAACAAAATGTTTAGCAATGGGGAAATAGTTATGGGAATTATGGTATGTGCATATGAGGTGAAATTATGCAGCCTTTAAAACTTATAATTATGAAAACTGGATCAACCTGAAAAAATGCTTGAAGTGAAAAAGTACAGTACAAAATCCTATCTGTAATAGTTGTGATTATAGCTATGTAAAAACAGCATATCACGGGGCCATGCAATGGAAGGAAACATTAAAAATAGCGCAGCAAGTGTCAGTGCCCACCACCACATCTCCAGCACTTACCGTTGTTTGTGCCGGAGTTAACAGCTCAGGCTGCTGCCAGCCCCCATGACCCTGCCTGAGGGCTTTCTCTGTCCTCTATGGCCCATTCTGCCCAAGCATGGACAAAATAAAATGGTTGGAGAATGCCTGTTCCCCTGGGAACAACCCTCACCCAATGACTGATGGGAATTTCTGGGTAGATACCTGGCCCCTCAGGCAAGATGTCCTGGAGGTGGGTGTTTCATCCTGGTTCCCAGTGAACCCCAGTGAGACTGGACTCCAGCTGCCTACAGTGGCAACCTGCTCAAATTCCTCTATCTTGGCTTCCTTTCTATCCCTGTCTCACTTTCCCACTCCTCTTCCAGCATTTTCTTCATAAACTACTTGCCTTGTCTTGCTTTGGTTCTGGGCCATATATTCTCAACAGGGGTGATATAGCCGCCAAGGGGCTAAAATTGGTTACATAGAGCAGGGGTTCCTTCCCCACCCCTCCCCGGCCAGGGAGCAGTATAGTCCGTGGCCTGTTAGGGACTGGGCCGCACAGCAGGAGGTGAGCGGCAGGCGAGCAAACGTTACCGCCTGAGCTCCGCCTCCTGTCAGATCCACAGTCAGATCCTCCTAGATTCTCATAGGAGGACGAAACCTATTGTGAATCGCACATGAGAAGGATGTAGGTTTCACGCTCCTTGTAAGAATCTAACAGATGCCTGATGATCTGATGTAGAACAGTTTCATCCCGAAACCATTCCCCCATGGTCTGTGGAAAAATTGTCTTCCATGAAACCAGTCCCTGGTGCCAGAAAGATTGGGGACCGCTTACGTGGGTGACAAAACAATATTGCTTTTTTCATGTATAAAGCACAGCTATGCATATATTATACAAATTTACAGTATACCTGAGGGATTAAAAATTCATGGGGGTTCATTTAGAAGAAAATATCTACCAAGGGTCCTTAGGAGGGGAAATCATGCTTTTTTAAAAAACTGTTGAAAAACACTGTGAACCCGAAAGAACCCAAAGTAAGACAAATATAAGCAGTTTCTCTGTTAGAATGACTGATCAAATAGGAACTTTGACCTCTAGTTTTTTACCTCAGTTATGTGGTATGTACAAGAATAATAAAGTAATAATTTAAAAAACAGATATGGACCCAGCCCCTAAGATACTTCTAGCCCCGAGACAAACACCTAACATCAATGTCTTGATTATGGAGTCCCCACGACTTCATCGCCGCTACCAGAGTCACCTACACACTTCTCCCCACCTCACCCCTGACTCCCCACCGTCATTTCACTTTTGTTTCCTGATACCCTGGGTGGAATCATTTTGGATTAAGAGCTAGTATTAGGGTTCCTTCATTTCTTTTTTCAGTGAGAAAAAAAAAGTCAGAAAACTCTAAGCCTACATAGAACTCCATTGTTAAAATCCGTAAATGGTACACGGGAACTCAGTTACTATGAGAGTGAGTTAACTGGAAAAGGGCGGGCAGGTGCTATGGGGAGTGGAGAGTGTGAGAATGAAGAATCGGTCAGGAAATGCTTCCTAGCATGTAGGCAAGGAAGAGACCTCCTGCACAGGCTGGAGGGAGGACATCCAGGATCCACTTGCACTTGCACATCAAGGGCAGGAGTTGAGATCAGGCCACAGGTGAAACTTCGTGGTCAAGCTCTATTTAGCCTGGAATCCAGAGTATTATGGTGGGATATGGGAGTGCTCAGAGTGTCATATGTATAAATGACCCTCTCTGCGGAAAGCTGAATATTGTGAAGAGCACGGGGAATGCTGAGAAACCATTAAGGTGATTATAACCAGCCGTGGGTATCCGGCTGGCCAAACAAAGAGATCAAGTCCGTTCTGCTTCATTGTTCACTGACCTAATGCCCCACATTCTTGAAACTGGCCCAAGGAAGATTTTTTTTTTATGGTATTTATAAAAATGCTAGTCAAAGTGCTCTGTTATCATAGCTCATTTAAAAATACGGCACAAGACTGATAAATGCCATTGTTCCAACTTGGCTCCCAGGCAAGAAGGAGGCCCAGGGCTCTGACTTCGGCCAGCCTGGGCTCCAGGAGCCTGGCTGGGTGGAGGGAGGGCAGGGCTGACTGGGAGAGAAGGTAACTGGAGATGGAATTGGTAAGATCCATGGGCTGTTTGCAGAAAGGCAGATTCTCACGTGTGGATGGTATAGGTGGGAGCAAACTAGAAAGAGGCTCAAAGTCTCTTTCTTAGCCCTCTGATTCAGTGAGCTTCATTTTCTTGTTTAAGTGGCCAAGACACTTTCTCCCTGTTAGCTAGCCCTTGGAGAAGCTTATAAAGTTTGGATAGCACGCAAGGTAAAATTCCACTCCTGCACAAAGGGCCTCATTTGTGGAGAGTGAGTCACGATGATTTCCAGTGTGTCTAGCAAACGCTTATGGATGTTAAGGGTCTAAACTGCTTCCTCCCCAAAGATGAAACTGAGGAGCTCATTTGAAGATATAACAGCTTTAAGAATAAAAATACCTTAACTTTACTGAGAGCTTACTAAGTGCCACTTTATGATAATTATTCTATTATTGCAACAACCCTTTGAGGTTATTGCGTGGTTATTGGTGCCTATTTTACAGATGGGAAAACTGATGTTCAACTCAAGTAACTGGCCTTCAGGGTCACATAGCTAGAAGATGGAGTAGTTTGGAGTAGTTAGCTTAAGTCCAGGGGCGGTTCACTGCACTTCCTCTCAGAGTGGCAGAACAATTGTTTTATTGGAAGTGTTAATCACTGATTACTCGTAAAGATAGGTGGGTAAAGATAACAAGAGAGACCTTTGACTGCAGTGATTGCCTCAGCTCGTACTTAAGATGGGAGAGTTAAAGACCAGTATATAACAGTAGTAGGCCCTTTAGCGTATTTATCTGTGAAACCATAGTACCCTTTGGCTTGGCAACGGTCCCCTAACTCCCTCAATTTCCTCCTAGAGAGTGCCAAGTGCATGAAGAAAGTAGGTAGAGCTCTGTGACTTTGCAGCATTCTGTAAAGTGTCCTCAGGTTACCTTCGAGTATGTGGTTTATAGAGGGTTGTAGCGTCATAAAAAGAGCTCCCTCCTCTTGCCACAGATTTTTCAGTCTACCTATCTGTGGTTTCAAATCTCAAATGTCTCATCAACTCCTGCCACCTCAGCTACCTGAGCAACTTCAATCCCTCGCTCTATTTGTCTCCAAGATGGCTGCCATCAAGTCCCTCCCTCCCTCTGGCTTCATGCCATCCCTCATCAAGCAATAGAGTCTATTCCTTCACTCCTTTTGAATCCATCAGTGCAGGCCTTAATGACTTGCATGACCAAAAGAAAGCCACAGAAGTGATATTCTCTGGCTTTCAAGTTTAGGTCAAAAGAAACCTTGCCCCTCCTACCTGGGTCTCTTGGAAGTGAGTTGCCATGGAATGAGTGTGATTATCCTGAGACTGCCATTCTGTAAGAAGCCTGGGAGAGGAGAGAGATGCCAAGGAACACCAAAGCACCCCATGTGCTGGTGAAGCAGCCATTGGGAGAGCAGACCCTCCAGTCTCAACCGCTGCTGCTGACACCGCGTGGATCAAAGCCAAACCACCCAGCTAAGCCCTTTTTCAATTTCTGATCCACAAAATCATGGGGCAAAATAAAATGTTTTCTTTTAAGCCATCCGGTTTGGGGATAGTTTTTGTTTTGTTGTTCTGTTTTTGAGACAGAGTTTCACCAAGCCCGGCTAATTTTTGTATTTTTTACTAGAGACAGGGTCTCACCATGTTGGCCAGGCTGGTCTTGAACTCCTGACCTCAAGTGATCCACCTGCCTCGGCCTCCCAAAGTGTTTGGACTAGAGGCGTGAGCCACCACACCTGGCTGGGGTAGTTTTTTATATAACAGTAGTTAAACCGAAACAAACATTTAAACATCCTGAAGTCTCTCTCAGGTTAAGAAGCAATAACAAAACAAAAATACTACATCCTCCTCTAGTTACCACCCAGTCTCTTTCCTCTTGTCACATCTAAAGTTCTTGAGAGGTCTCCAACAGAGTCCTATACCTTCTCACCTCCCACTCACTCCTTCATTCACTTTAATCAGCCTTCCAGCCTCTTCTGAAACTGCAAACCATCCGAACAGCCTTGCTATTGTGAACACCCTTTTGTACTTACCTTACTTGGCCTCCTTGTACTTCCTGACATTTGTCTTCTTCCTCTTGGAAGCACTCCCATCCCTGGGGCTTGTTCTTTCCCACTGATTCTTCCTTATCATCCTCCTTCTTGTTAGTTTCCTGGCATCTTAAAGGAACTGGGTTCCTTAGGATTCTGCCTTCAACTCTCTTCTCATGCTACGTTCTGTCCCTTATTGGAACATGTGCCTTACAGATGATATTGCATTTATTAAATCCACCAGAGGGAATGAGAAGGTAAGAGTTAAATTGTTAAATTAAATTGCAATATTTTTTAAATGGGGCTATGACAATAGTCAAGAGGTAGAAGCAACCCAAAACTCCATCATCAGATGAATGAAAAAAAAAAAAAAAAGGAGTATACACAGACAATGGAATATTATTCAGCCTTAGAAAGAAAGGAAATCCGGTCACATGCTACACCATGGATGAACCTTGAGGCAGTTATGTGAAGTGAAATAAGCCAGTCATGAAAAAGACAAATACTGTATAATTCCACTTATAAGAAGCATCAAAAGTAGACAAATCCATTAAAACAAAAAGTAGAATGGTGGTTGCCAGGGGATGAGTGAAGGGGAAAAGAAGAGTTGTTATTTAATGAGGATAGAGTTTCAGTTTTGCAAGATGAAAATGTTCTGGAGATTTGGTTCACAACAACATGAATTTACCTAACACTATGGAAAATGGTTAAGATGATAAATTTTACTTATTTTTTACTACAACAAACAATGCAGAAAAGATGACTCTAGAAGAAATTAACCAGTTATATTTTTTACATATTTTAAAAGTCTTTGATTTTAAAATGTCAATAAATACCCAGTTATATCCAAAATAAGGATACAATTATGTTCCACCAAGGGATAGCCCTAAACCTTGGATGAAACAGTATTTGATATAATCCTGACATGTCCTCGTTTGAAGAGGATAACATCCTTGTTTACATACTCCATGGAGTTCTTAGAGTCATACAGCTTGAGAGACTTAAAGATGACCTACTTCCAGTCTGTTGTGTCTCACGGAGTCCGCCATAGTTAACAGAGTCCAAATGTTACACCATGAGAGTGATGACAGCTGAGTCCTACTGATTTCCTTGTCCTCATAATTCATCCACCAGTGTTTCCTTTTTCTGCACCATATTATCTTTGCTGAAGGAGTGGATAGCGGAAAAAACAAAGGAGCAGAAGGAAGACCCCAGAAAACGATAAGAGCAAACGAAGTGTTGAGGCTTCTAGAAGGAAGTTCTCTCAAAATATAACGCTAAGTTCTGAAAATACAATAGAATATTATACAGTTGTGAAATATTTACAACCAACTGACATCTCTTACACCAAATTCATGTGATCATTGTATCGTGTATTTACTTTTAAGAATAGCACGACATGAAACGGGAGTGTTTTCTGAAAAATCCTGCTTTTTGTAGGTCCGTTTAGAAGACTACCAGACACTCAAAAGATCTAAAGTAGTTCTCACTAGAACCTTTTGATATCATAACCCAGGACTTAGGTAATAAAGCAGAACAAAGCAGAATGGGATGTGTAGAGAAAAAGAGCATTACACAATGGGAGACAGGTTTATTGGGTGCAGCAGAGCATTGTAGGAAGCTATGGAATTTTACTCCAAAAGTTTCAAGACTGCTATTCTGGATCCATCACCTTTTAAGCAGTATGGGATTAAATCAATTTAACAAAGATGTAGTTTGTGACAATTACAGACTAATGATCTCAAAGTATTTGTAGCTGCCCAGAGGAAATGTTGCAGATAACTAAAATGGTGAAACAAAGGTCAAGAACAGCATCCAGGGAGGCCTGTGGATAGCTCTGGTTAGCTACAAGATTGCTGCTAAGCTCTCTGCCCCTTTCTCGGGTTAGACAGGATATATGCTTGGTTCAACAGCAGCATTTTTCTCTGCTCTTCAAGGAGAAGCTTAGATATGAACAATACATCCCAGGTTTGATTGCCAAAGGGTGGAAGACGATGTATGTAGATTTTCCTGCCAATGCTGGGACTCACACTTCCTTTCTCATTTTTCTCATTAAGGTTAGAAATGAGTCATTTGTACTTAGTTAAAGAAGAGAAGGGTTCTCTGCCAATATATCCATGCAACTATTCTGAATCTGAAACTGTTCCCAGACATAATGTTTATGAGTGCTAAGACATCTGAGCTGTTCTCCCTCCCACTTAGCCAAGCCCCTGGTTCTGCCTCACTTCCAGGAATCCTCTCCTGGTACATGCATGTGAGATAAAAGTCTGAAAGTGATGAATTACATTACCACTATTTCTCAATTCTTTGAAGAAAAAAATATCTAAAAGATTTCACAGTGGTTGGTCCCTTTTCATATTATTATGAACTGAAATGCAATTTTGCACACACAGTATTTTTGAAGATATACATTTACTAATAACCATATTGAACATCTACTATGTAATAAGTACTAACTGCTTCATATACATTTTAAAATTGAATCCCAACATTAAAGAAAACATTTTATAGTTAGGAAAACCAAAGGATTCAAGGAGCTTGTCTAAATTCACACAGCAAGTAAGGGGTGGAAATTGGGCTCAAAACTGGGCCTATCTGATTCCAAAGCCCATATTTTAACTATACAGTTATAATTATTCTATGTGGATTATAAAGGAAATTATATATATATCTCTAATGAACCTAGGAATTTTACTTAGATTTTAGCTGATGTCAATCTGACTGACATTGACAGATACAGATACTGACATATATATGATTTTTTTTTTACATTTCGGTCAATGGAAGAATGTTACCATTCCCTTCCATACTTTGCATTTAATCCTACCCATGGTCCGCACAGTCCCTTGCGATGGTTAATTTTTGTATGTGTCAACTTGGCTGGGTCATGGTGCCTAGATATGTGATCAAACATGTTTCTGTGAGGGTGTTTTTAGATGAGACTAACATTTACATCAGTGGACTTTGAGCAAAACTGACTGTCCTCTATAATGTGGGTGGGTCTCTTCTAATCAGTTGAATGTCTGAACAGAAAAAGACTGACCTCCCCCAAGCAAGAAGAAATTCTGCTAGCAGACTGCCTTCCAACTTGAACTGCAGATTTTGGACTTGCCAAATTCCATAATCACATGAGCCAATTCTTTAAAATCTGTGTGTGTGTGTGTGTGTGTGTGTGTGTACACATGCATGTGTGTCTATACACATACACACACACATACACATACCCTATTGGTTCTGTTTCTCTGGAGAACCCTGAGTAATATACCCCCATATTCTGCAAGTCATAAAACATATCTGAAAAACATAGGCTAATACAAGAATATTCTACATATTGGAAATCCTCAAAACCCTTGGTTTGGAGCCTATTAAAAATAGAAACTATGAGTTCCACCTAAGTCTTACCGAATTAGACTCTCCAGGAATAGAACCAGAGTAGGTATATTTTTATTAAAGCTTCATACTGATTGGGACACCAATTCTTGGTTAAAATATAACTGTATTATAAGACACTAGAAATGTTGCACGGTAGTCAGGATAGGCGAGGATTTGTGGTGGTAAAAAATGACTCTGAAATCTCAGTGTTTGTGATGTGTGCCCAGTGCAGGTTGGGGAAAGGTCTTCTCATGATAGTTGGTCTTCATTCTGTGTATTAGTCAGGATCCTGGTAGGAAACAAATGACATACTCAAGTAATTTAGGAGAGCTTAGTAAAGGTACTCTTTGTAAAGATGAGGGTAAGGTTCACGGAAGTCAACAAAAATGGCACAGCACCCAGGCCCAGCAACAGCAGTGACCAGAACCTAAAGAGAGTAGATGTCACCGAACAGAAGATGGAGGTCTTTGGTACGGGAATGCAACCAGCCCACGGAGACCTGAAAGGGAGGGAGCAGGAGAATCAATATCTCAACATCGCCCTCCTCTGCCCCCTGATATCTAACCAGTACCTCTCGTTAGTTGAACCCAAACAGAAGCCAGAGGACAAGGAAACTTGTTGATGTTGTCCATGAAAGGCAGCCCCTCTGGCCACAAAGCATCATGGAAAGGGTGCAAAATATCAAATAGTGCACTCTGGAACTCAGTCTGGCACCATCTGGAACATTGCCAGTCAACAAGGCAGAAGGAAAGAGAACGAGGCAAAAATCTAAATTGGCTTTTAAAACTTCTGCCCAGAAGTGATAAGATCACCTATGCTTAGAATTCATTGTCAAATCACATGATCAAGTCTGCCTAGAAAGGGTGGAGGAAAATAGTGCTTCTCCAGGGAGCAAAAGTGAATATTGGTGACAGTAACCAATTCATTATACGAGGGAGTCTATGTGGATGTCTCAGAGCCAGGAGAGAGGAAAGTTTTTTTTTTATATACTGTCTTTTCTTATCTTTTGAACCTTGCAATGTATGAATATATTACCTACTCAAAACAATAAATAATAGTAAGAACAATAAGATGAAACTACTGTGATACACAGTACATTGGATAGGATATTATCCATATTTGGCTTTTGTACTGGCTGTGTAGCGTCTGAACCACTCACATTATAAGGAAGAGTTGAACCTCCCACTGTGGGAAATTGAATATGCCAGAAATTTGCTTTTCCTGCCTCCTTTGCTGCTAGCACATTGGCATATGACCAAGGTTCTGCCAATCAGATGCACTTGCCCCAGACTTGAAATTGGAAACTAGAGATCCAAGAGGGGACTAAACCATATCCTTTCTGGTAACAGAGTGACAGCTACGTCCAATTTTCAGAGTCAGTAGGGAAAGCAGCCATGCCCAGGGGCCAACACTGGCCATGCTGGGAGTGCCATCTGCAGTGACCATCATGCAGCAGCAGTAGCAGCAGTGGGTGCTCATAGAACTAGTTCCATGGCATGATTTCAGCACTGTGTGACAGCGTATCCTCTAAACCTGATTCCTATCCCTTCCAGAGAGTGTAGGAACTATCCAATATCCTTTCATTAAATTCCATTTCCTGCCTAAATTAGCCAGAGTTTGATATCTGTTGCTTACAGCTAAGAACCCTAACAAGTTTTTGTCCTGTTATCAAAAGAAAGTATAAGTATAGGGCCGGGTGCAGTGGCTCATGCCAGTAATCCCAGGGCTTTTGGAGGCTGATGCGGGTGGATCACTTGAGGTCAGGAGTTTGAGACCAACCTGGTCAACATGCTGAAATCCTGTCTCTACTAAAAATACAAAAAAGAGTTAGCTGGGCATGGTGGCAGGAGCCTGTAGTCCCAGCTACTTGGGAGGCTGAGACAGG